GGGGCAGGGGGATAAGGTGTGAGGCACAGGTGCAAGTCAGTGCCGTGGTTTGTGTTCACAGGGACGCAGACACGCGGCACATCGGGGGGGGGGGGCAGGGGGATAAGGTGTGAGGCACAGGTGCAAGTCAGTGCCGTGGTTTGTGTTCACAGGGACGTAGACACGCGGCACATCGGGGGGGGGGGCAGGGGATAAGGTGTGAGGCACAGGTGCAAGTCAGTGCCGTGGTTTGTGTTCACAGGGACGCAGACACGCGGCACATCGGGGGGGGGCAGGGGGATAAGGTGTGAGGCACAGGTGCAAGTCAGTGCCGTGGTTTGTGTTCACAGGGACGTAGACACGCGGCACATGGGGACACGGTGCAAGTCAGTGCCGTGGTTTGTGTTCACAGGGACGTAGACACGCGGCACATCGGGGGGGGGGGGGGGCAGGGGGATAAGGTGTGAGGCACAGGTGCAAGTCAGCCGTGGGTTTTGTTTTGGTCTAATAGGGACAAGAACAGGGCACGAAAAAGACAGAGTTTATAGTGTTCACTACAAACTGTCACCTCACAGGCAACTGTTAACGCTGGCCTCTGCTTGTTGAGTTCGTTGCGGGGGGGGGGGGGTCGTCAAAGTGTGTTAAGGAAAATACAAAATAATAATGCTAAACCCATAGCAGCGAACACGATGATGTGAATAGTGGCGCTGGATTACCACGCGAGGGTTTTTGCCAAAGAGCTCACCGTTCGGCTGGGGGAAGGTCCAGCCAGCGCAGTATCGTGAACAGGCGCAGGTCGTGGTTGATGCCGCTAGAGATCGGAGAGAGAAACAAACCTCAGCGCAAACCATCCTCCCCTCCTGCTCCCCTTCTCCATAGTGCGTGCGGCTGGGAAATTCAACCAAACTGGTAAAATATATTTTTCCAGAAGCGACCTGGCCCATCACAAACGATAGGCACAAGGAAAGTTGGCTTACCACCATCATCATCATCACGTAGACATTTATAGCAACAGTCGAGTCCAAATGTGGCGGGGGAACAAAACCGGGGAAAAATCCACGCGACTACGGGGAGACAGAGAACTGCAAACTCCAAGTATACAGCAGCAGACGTCGTCAAGGGTCAGGGTTCGAACCCCACGACAATCCTGCATAGCAGGCGAGGTAGTTAACATCTCATCAGGGTAGTGGGAGCCCCTAGGTGGTGGCCTTGCAAGAAAGGTTGAACGATGTGATGCGGTGAACTGAGATGATGCAAAGTAAGAAGAGATTTTGCCACTTTTTCCTGGCAATAAAACAGGAGTTGAGATGTTCAAACGCCAAATCGATTATACCTCTCGCAAGGCATCAAGTGCCGCATTAACCACACACGGTGCTTGTGGTAAACATGCAAACAAACATGGCTCTGATAATAACAGATGGTATTGTCTTTGAAACTGATTGGCCTACACCAGAGACAGCAGCCTTTTTCAGGGCCTAGTCCCACTACCACCAGTGTCAAGCCAGAGAACAACAAAAGGCGAACAGCACAAAGACAATGCCACACGTATCGGAGCATTTACAGCCCGGGGTGAGCAGCTACATCGTGGGACACTTTTTTTCAGTACCGTAGTATGAAAAATGGATAGGCCCCTTTTTGGGGCACCAAAGACAAAGATCTGCCCGTGTAGCCTGTAGCAGACTGCGGGGGGCAAGTGCTGTTAGCGAGCACCTCTGAAGCCCGGCACTGTGCACACGAGGGGGTGGGTGGCCAACACCATGCCCGACCGCCTTTGTCTCCCTAGTGGCGATGTTTACACACTGTACCAGGTACTCATTTGAAGCTGAGTCGATCTAGGGGAGGCCCAGGACCGGTTCAAATAATCGTCACCGGTGTTGGGCGTGAGTGGGAACCAAACTCAGGTCGCCGGGTTCGTAGCGCAGTGCAAACCGCTACACTTCCGCCACACACACAAAGACAAAGATCCCCCGTGCTGCCTTAACACACTGTTGGGGCAAGTCCTGTTAGCGAGTAGCACCTATGAAGGCCGGGGTGGGTGGCCAGCACCATGCCTGGCCGCCTTTGTCTCCCCAGTGGTGATGTTTTTGCACATCATTCGAGGCACAGGCACACACACATGTGCCCCTGCTCCTTCCCCCCCTCTCTCTCTCACCTTGGCCAGAAGAAGGTGCTGGACTTCTTGTCTTGCTTCTCCACCGTGATCCAAATCTGTGGGCGCGAAAAAAAACAGGCATTGCGTTCTCAACCACCGGCGCTGGTATTTAGCGGAATGCCGGCCGGCTGGCGCCCGGATTGGAACCTAGCCCGGAGGCTGGCGCCCGGATTGGAGCCTCGCCGGGTGGCTGAAGAAGAAGTAGAGGGAAGAATAAGAAACAACGGCCATTTCCCAATACATAACAACTCGCCATCTGAAGAAACAGCGCTGTTGGTGATTCACGACTGGACTGGTCCCCTCCCGCCCCCCCCCTCGGTAACACTGCCCCCTCCCATGGTACTCACGGGCTGCCCCCCCCTCCCGCCCTCAGAGGCTGCCCCCCCCCCTCCCCGATACTCACGGGCTGCCCCCCCCACCAGCGGTGCTTGAGCTTCTCCTTGCCCCGGTAGGTGAAGGTGGCGTTGAACTCGCTGTCGTAGATGACGTTGTCGATGATGCCGTGGGACTCTGGGTAGAGGCCCTGAGCGGTGACCCGGGCAGGGAGAGGGGGAGAGAGACAGTGAGGGAGGGAGACAGTGAGGGAGGGAATGAGGGAGAGAGGGAAGGAGGGAGCGAGAGAGGGGGTGGAGAGAGAGGGGGGCAGAGAGGGAGAGGGGGTACATAAAGCAAATATTAAAAAAACAAAACAAAACGAAATGATGAACGAAGCAAAGTGCCGACTACACCGAGCATCTTTTTGTTTCCTCTGATCGCAAAAAAAGAGAGGGAGGGGCCGCGGGGCACCGCGTGACGACGCTGAGCCGGCTAGGCCCTCGCGCTCCTGTGGCGAGCGTCGCATGCGCTTGGTGGACTCACCGTGACCATGCTGTAGTGATTGGGGAACGTCTTGGTCGGGTACATGGGCCTCAGGTGGCGCGCGCTGGTCCCGCACGTGCCTGGGGAGACGCAACGGAGTGCACACGCACACACGCGCATACAAAACAACCGCCATTCGCCACTACGTGGCGGTGACATCACCACGACGCTTGTGCCAGGCCATGTGCATCTGAGGCCACGTGAAGTGTCGAACGCCCGCTGGCAGGAGGTCACGGGGCAGACCCAGGTGCCACGGGTCGACTGACCGAGATGACTGGCTGATGCACCACCTGTGCCCCCTACTGTGCTAACTTACTGTGCTTTAGCCACCCGGCGCTCCACTCGTGGTTGTGATAGTCGCTCCTGCACCCTCCGTTGTTGTTGGAAGGCGACTGCCTCCAACTGCCCAGTAGCGTCCTTCACGAGCCTCTTCCACAGAGGCCGATCTTGACAACGCTGGTACCAGTCATCGGTAAGTCCACTCAGCTCCACGTATTCCACATCACTCCATCTCTTTTATAGCCCGTGCCGCACCTGTTTAGCCCCCTCGATCCGGCTGAACAAAAGCTGTTTTGGCATACGGTGGCCGGGCATGCGGGCTACATGACCTAGCCAACGCAGCCTTGCCTGCCGGAGGAGGTCACCGATGGGACTTTGCCCAGATCTTTCAAGGATTTGTGAGCTCCTCACACAATCCAGCCTGGTTAAACCCAGGATGGATCATAGGCAGGCCAGCCTAAATGTTTCCAACCGTCGAAGATGCTCCATTAGGGGGGTCCACGTTTCGCAAGCGTAGAGAAGGGAGGAAATGACTGTGGCCGAGAAGACCTGAAGCTTCGTGCGGAGCGACAGACCAGGTAGCTTCCACACAGCGATACGCAGCCGATGAAAAGATATTGCCGCTCGACTGATTTGGAGTGAGACCTCTACTGTTCAACTGGAGCCAGTCATAAGTACACTGCCCAGGTATGGGAAACTCTCCACTCTCTCCAATACTGCCCCATCACCGATTGGGAGTTTTGGGGGTGGTGTGTCCGATGGTACAAACACCCAGGCAGGTGCTTAGTTTTGGTGGACCTAATGGTAAGGCCCCACCTCTTAGTGGCATGCTCCAGTCTCAGCAGCAGTGTCTCCAACTCCTCTCTGAATGAGCAGCTATTACAAAATAATCGACCAATAGGGAGCCATCCCTTGATCGCACCCAGGCATCGATCAGCCTCCCATTATATCTGTACCAAATGGAAATTCCCCCAGTACAGCTATTGAAGGCTTCACGAACTACATGGTCAAAATAGATGTTAAATAATGTGGGAGCCAGACGACATTCCTGTCGCACCCCAAGGTGTACAGAGAATGGCTCTGACTCCCGGCCACGTAGTTTTACCCGGGCCCGCTCACCATCATGAAGGTCCTTAATGATCGTGAGCAGAGGGTCAGGGACTCCGAAAGCACAAAGAACAACCCAGAGCCCAGGCCTACTGATGGTATCATAGGCCTTGACCAGGTCAATAAAGCAGAGATGTAGGTCTTGTTGGAATTCCCTATACCTTTGCTGTAGCAGACGGACAGAAAATATGGCATCTGTGCAGGACCACCCTCTCCTAAAACCGCATTGGGGCTCCGCAAGCCTCCCTCAGCATGCCTAGCAAGGCGATGTTGAATAATCCTTGCCAGGACCTTTCCCGGCACACTGAGGAGTTAGGGTTACAGTCTGTGCGGTTCCCCTTATTAAAAAGGGGGACCATCAGGGCATCCTTCCAATCCTGAGGAACCCGTCCAGTGGTCCAGACTGTTGTTATGATGTCATGTAGGGCAGTCTGTGCACAAACGCCACCCTCCCTCAGCATTTCGCTTCGGAGATCATCTCTGCTCGGTGCCTTTCCTGGTCTCAGACTCCGGATCGCCTTCAGTACTTCCTCAATAGATGGCACCTCAGCCAGCCACTCACAGGGGGTGACTTCTTCCAATATTTGAGGCACCGCAGCCTCAGCAGGGTCATCCCCACTTTGTGCCACGATGTTTTCCTGGCTGAGGGATTTCCCCTCCCCCAGGACCTCACAGAAATGCTCAGCAAATCTGCAAACCTGTTCCTGGAGGTCGACGATTGGATCACCGTTTTTTCCCATAATGATGATAATATGTGTGGTGCTGCAGGTTACTTTTTGATGGAGTTAAATAGTGATTTGTGATCGCGGGGCACTGAGGCAGACTCCATCTCCTCAGCAATCAGCAACCACCACCCATCCTTGCAGTGCCTTATGGCTCTCCGAACCTCCGAGCGATGGCGCATACACACACACACGCACAACACGCACATGAACATGCGCACACACATGAACACACGCACGGCAGCCCCGAGTCGCTTACCGACTGCTGGATGCCGGACTTCTGCAGTGCCATGGCCGATCTTGGTTGCCGGTTTTACCCGGAACCGCGCGGTCGACAGCCACGACACCGAAGATCAACTCCGGTGATCTCACAGAGCAGGGAGAGCCTGCGTGGGGCGCCACGGTGGCTAGGAGATCTCAACTACCTCGGCTGGTACGCAGGAGGTCGAGGGTTCGATCCCGACACTAACAATGCTGCTGTACATTTGGAGTCTGCGTCTCTCTCTCATCATCATGGTGGCTATGGGATGTTAACTGCCTCGCCTGGTATGTAGGAGGGCACATTCACACAGAACTTGGAGCTGCAGCCTTCGTTGGTTACTCTGCTCAGTCACCAGGAAAACGCTCGCTGAGTTTCTCTCGGTCTCACTTTCAGGAGGATCCTGCCAGGTTGTTGCTGTGCGTGTGTGTGCGCGTGCGACCTCAAGTGAGTGACAATTTTTGGTGTTATTACGCGGTGTTGTTGTTAAGCGGTGTTGTTGCTACGCGGTGTTGTTGTTACGTGGTGTTGTTGCTACGCACGCGGTGTTGTTGTTACACACGCGGTATTAAGCAGGGCGGCCGCTGGATCCGAACCGCTGGGGTCTGAACTTCGAAGCGACGTTCACCGCTTCCGTTATTATTCCACGTCGTGTTGAGCCAACACCCATTGTTGTAGTGTACTTCTACGCCTGCCGGGTCCGTGCTCCCCCACCCCCGCCTTCACCTCACACATGGTAAAGCACGGCTACTGTACCCCCCCCACCACCACGTGCGTTGAACTTCTGTCGCACGGCCGCACGGAGCCGACCGTGCCAACCGGAGGGCCCCGCAAGACATGGGGAGACCCCCACCCCCGCACCTCCCTCATCCAGCAGTGGAGAGACAACGGGGCCTGGCGCGCATGGGTGCGAGTGGAAATCGGCGGGGAGGGGGGGGGGGATTACTCACGGAGTTTCTGCACCACGGGGATGATGGTCTTGTCGAAGTTGAGGTAGTCGGCTTTGTAGCCGTCCAGCGACACCAGGATGAGCGGAGGCTTCGAGAAGCTGCCAAACGCACATGGGGAGGGGGGGGAGTTGTTACCGAGGCCGCTGTCGCCCCTCGCGTTTTCATCTTTGTCGTCGTCTTTGTTGTTGCTTGGTGGGGTGGGAGTGTTAGCGGAGACCCCGGCCCACCGTCTCCCCGTCAACGCTGGCTCCCAATCCAATCCCGGATCGGTTTCAACATCACACACCATGCCCGCCTCTCCCCTCTCATCTCACTCCACTCCCCTCCATGCACTCCCCTGCCTCTCCCCTCTCATCTCACTCCACTCCCCTCCACGCACTCCCCTGGATCTCCCTCTCATCTCACTCCACTCCCCTCTCATCTCACTCCACTCCCCTCCACGCTCTCTCCTGCCTCTCCCCTCTCATCTCACTCCACTCCCCTCCATGCACTCCCCTGCCTCTCCCCTCTCATCTCACTCCACTCCCCTCCACGCACTCCCTGCCTCTCCCCTCTCATCTCACTCCACTCCCCTCCATGCACTCTCCTGCCTCTCCCCTCTCATCTCACTCCACTCCCCTCCACGCACTCCCCTGCCTCTCCCCTCTCATCTCACTCCACTCCCCTCCACACATCCCCTGCCTCTCCCCTCTCATCTCACTCCACTCCCCTCTACGCACTCCCCTGCCTCTCCCTCTCACTTCACTCCACTCCCCTCCATGCACTCTCCTCTCCAGTGACCAAGGGTTTCTGTGGAATCCCCCAGTCACCCGATCACTCAGTGGCGGGACGTCACTCTCTCTTCTGCTGCCCCCACAGTCTGGAACTCCCTTTTCCCAGTCATCCGTGCTGTCGACTTCCTGCCCCTATTCTCCTGTGTCCAACTGCCTCCCTCTCTCTCTCTGCCGCAGACTCACACAGAGACCCACAGACTCACACAGAGACCCACAGACTCACACAGAGACCCACAGACTAACACAGAGACCCACAGACTCACACAGAGACCCACAGACTCACACAGAGACCCACAGACTCACACAGAGACCCACAGACTCACACAGAGACCCACAGACTCACCAGAGACCCACAGACTCACACAGAGACCCACAGACTCACACAGAGACCCACAGACTACACAGAGACCCACAGACTCACACAGAGACCCATAAACTCACACAGAGACCCACAGACTCACACAGAGACCCAGACTCACACAGAGACCCACAGACTCACACAGAGACCCACAGACTCACACAGAGACCCACAGACTCACACAGAGACCCACAGACTCACAGAGACCCACAGACTCACACAGAGACCCACAGACTCACACAGAGACCCACAGACTCACACAGAGACCACAGACTCACACAGAGACCCACAGACTCACACAGAGACCCACAGACTCACACAGAGACCCACAGACTCACACAGAGACCCACAGACTCACACAGAGACCCACACACTCACACAGAGACCCACAGACTCACACAGAGACCCACAGACTCACACAGAGACCACAGACACACAGAGACCCACACACTCACACAGAGACCCACAGACTCACACAGAGACCCACAGACTCACACAGAGACCCACAGACTCACACAGAGACCCACAGACTCACACAGAGACCCACAGACTCAACAGAGACCCACACACTCACACAGAGACCACAGACTCACACAGAGACCCACAGACTCACACAGAGACCCAAGACTCACACAGAGACCCACAGACTCACACAGAGACCACAGACTCACACAGAGACCCACAGACTCACACAGAGACCCACAGACTCACACAGAGACCCACAGACTCACACAGAGACCCACAGACTCACACAGAGACCCACACACTCACACAGAGACCACAGACTCACACAGAGACCCACAGACTCAACAGAGACCCACAGACTCACACAGAGACCCACAGACTCACACAGAGACCCACAGACTCACAGAGACCCACAGACTCACACAGAGACCCACAGACTCACAGAGACCCACAGACTCACACAGAGACCCACAGACTCACACAGAGACCCACAGACTCACACAGAGACCCACAGACTCACAGAGACCCACAGACTCACACAGAGACCCACAGACTCACACAGAGACCCACACTCACACAGAGACCCACAGACTCACACAGAGACCCACAGACTCACACAGAGACCCACAGACTCACACAGAGACCCACAACTCACACAGAGACCCACAGACTCACATAGAGACCCACAGACTCACACAGAGACCCACAGACTCACACAGAGACCCACAGACTCACACAGAGACCCACAGACTCACACAGAGACCCATAGACTCACACAGAGACCACAGACTCACACAGAGACCCATAGACTCACACAGAGACCCATAGACTCACACAGAGACCCAGACACACAGAGACCCATAGACTCACACAGAGACCCACAGACTCACACAGAGACCCACAGACTCACACAGAGACCCACAGACTCACACAGAGACCCACAGACTCACACAGAGACCCACAGACTCACACAGAGACCCACAGACTCACACAGAGACCCACAGACTCACACAGAGACCCACAGACTCACACAGAGACCCACAGACTCACACAGAGACCCACAGACTCACACAGAGACCCACAGACTCACACAGAGACAGACTCACACAGAGACCCACAGACTCACACAGAGACCCACACACTCACACAGAGACCCACAGACTCACACAGAGACCCACAGACTCACACAGAGACCCACAGACTCACACAGAGACCCACAGACTCACACAGAGACCCACAGACTACACAGAGACCCACACACTCACACAGAGACCCACAGACTCACACAGAGACCCACAGACTCACACAGAGACCCACAGACTCACACAGAGACCCACACACTCACACAGAGACCCACAGACTCACACAGAGACCCACAGACTCACACAGAGACCCACAGACTCACACAGAGACCCACAGACTCACACAGAGACCCACAGACTCACACAGAGACCCACAGACTCACAGAGACCCACAGACTCACACAGAGACCCACAGACTCACACAGAGACCCACAGACTCACACAGAGACCCACAGACTCCACAGAGACCCACAGACTCACACAGAGACCCACAGACTCACAGAGACCACAGACTCACACAGAGACCCACAGACTCTCACAGAGACCCACAGACTAACACAGAGACCCAAGACTCACACAGAGACCCACAGACTCACACAGAGACCCACAGACTCTCACAGAGACCCACAGACTCACACAGAGACCTATGACTGTCTAGAGATAAACTCGCTCACTGCTCCTGTGCAGCGTCTGGAGAGGCGGACGCGTTGGGGCTGCCTCTGTGAGGACCCACGTGCACCGTGCTGTATTCACGGCATGCACCCTGGTGGACACTCACCCAGGCAGACACTCACCCTGGTGGACACTCACCCTGGTGGACACTGGGCTCCGCGGTGTCGTCACACTGGTCGTCCACCCAGTGCTTCTCTCCTGTTCCAAACGACAGCAGCTCCAGCCGGTGACGACACCGCTCCTCTCTCTCACCGTCCCTTCTAGTCCACCCCTCTACTCCACCCCTATAGTCAACCCCCTCTAGTCTACCCCTCTAGTGCACCCCCTCTACTCCACCCCTCTACTCCACCCCTCTACTCCACCCCTCCACTCCACCCCCTCTAGTCCACACCCCTCTACTCCACCCCTCTACTCCACCCCCTCTACTCCACCCCCTCTACTCCACCCCTTCTACTCCACCCCTGTAGTCCACCCTCTATCGTTAGCGTGCTGCGCTGTGCTACAGAGCCCGGTGACCCGAGTTCAATTCCCGCTCACGGCCACCACCAGTGACGATAGTCTGAGTGCCTGGTGCAGTGTAAACATCGCGGGCGAGTGATTTGCAGGTCATGTTTCAGCATGACCCGTGGCCGGGCGTGTGTAAACATCGCCGCTTAAGGAGACAAAGGCGGCCGGGCATGGATGCTGGCCACCCACCCACCCCCCTCGTGTACCGTCACAGGTGCTGCTACTCGCCGCTAACAGCGCTTGCCTCAACAGTCTGTCACAGGCTACACGGGCAGGGATCTTTGTGACCCTAACTGAGTCCCGTGGAGGTGATCGTTCTGCATCGGGATGTCACTAGTCCAACAGCAGTCCGACTGCGCGTGGTTTTGTTCGTGGGAGGAAACCCGGAGAAGCCGGAGCAAACCCATGTAGACCGGCGGGGGGAGGAGAGGGAACACAACGTCCTCCGCACAGAGTCGGGAGTCGAACTCAGGCACCACCCTTGCTGCGAGTGTCACCACCACCACCGGCGGTGACGTGACACGCACGGCGAGCGTGTGGCGGCGGCGCTGAGCGGATGTGCCTAGCGTAACGGTGTCATGGGGAACCACCGAGCGATGTCGCCGAGCGATGTCGCCGAGCGTGACGGCGTCGCGGGGAACCGCCGAGCGGATGTGCCGAGAGCTCGCTCGTCCGTCGTTCGTCGTCATCATCAGGCGTGGCGCGCGGTGGGGGGGGGGGGGTCGAAGGGACGCACCTTTGCAGACGACGTTGTAGTTGGTGCAGCAGTCTCTGTGCTCGAGGCAGTCGTCCGCGCAGTTGCAGTACGTCTGGTTGGTGCGCTTCTCCCCACAGCGCGACTTGACGCAGTTCCACGCGTAGCCTGCACGAGCGAGCGGGGGAGAAGGGGAATGAGCGAGGGAGCGAGTGAGCAGGGGGGCAAGTGAAGGAACGAGTGAGGGAGCAGAGGAGCGGGAGAGTGAGTGAAGGAATGAGCGAGGGAGGGAGCGAGTGAGTGAGCGAGCGAGCGCTGGAGTGTGCGATGGAACGTGAGTGAGCGAGCGAGGGAGCGAGTGGGGGAGAGTGAGTGAGTGAGCTGTGGAGCGAGCAGGGGAGTGAGTGAAAGGACGAGTGACGGAGAGAGCGAGTGATGGAGCCTACCAAGCACACAGCAAGGGGAGGCTCACACGCTCGTCGATTGGAAGTGATTCACAGAGTTTCTCAGAATGTTCTCCTGGTTGCAGATATGCTGCAGTAAGTGGCACGTGACGAGTAGTAGCCAAAGGTGTGCTGTATGCGGTGTGCCGGGTGCAGCATTATTCACTGGTCGCTGGTGTAGATTCGAGAACTTCTTTCGCGCCGTACATAGCCAACCGCGCTCATCAGAGGTGCGAGTGACCGTGATGCACAAGCGGATTTAGGGCAAAATCGGTACGGCTGGGAACCCAATGCAGCAGCAGCAGGTCGTCGTCGTCATGAGATGGGATGAGAGAAGGCGTGTGAGGTGCGTGCGGTGTGTGTGGGGCGCGGTGTGTACGCGGTGTGTGTGCAGCATGGGTGTGTGTGTGGCACGGTGCGGTGTGTGTGCGGCACGGTGTATGTGTGTGTGTGTGGTGTGGTGTGAGTGCGGCACAGTGTGTGTGGTGTGGTGTGTGTACGGCACGGTATTTGTGGTGTGTGTGCGGCACGGTGTGTGAGTGCAGCACGGTGTGTGTGTGGTGTGTACGATGTGAGTGTGGTGTGTGTGGTGTGTGTGCGGCACGGTGTGTGTGGTGTGTGTGCGGCATGGTGTGTCTGCGGTGTGTGTGTGTGGTGTGTGTGTGTGGTGTGTGTGTGTATGTGTGTGGTGTGTGCGGCATGGTGTGTCTGCGGTGTGTGGTGGTGTGTGTGTGTGTGGTGTGTGTGTGTATGTGTGTGGTGTGTGCGGCACGGTGTGTGCATGCGGTGCGGCAGAGCACCTGGCTGGATGCACAGCTCGTTGAAGTCGGCGCAGCACGTGTTGTAGGCGATGCAGAGCGCGTCGCAGCTGCACGCGTCCTCGGCGCTGGGGGTCACCTCGAAGCAGCGCTCCCTGCACGACGAGGTCGACCTGGGCCCACACGTGGCCCACACGCGGCGCCGTCAGTACGCGGTGGCCACCACCACCGCCACCACCGCCGCCACCACCACCGCCACCACCACCGCCACTGCCACCACCGCCACCACCACCGCCGCCACCACCACCACCGCCACCGCCACTACCGCCGCCACCACCACCGCCACCACCACCACCACCGCCACTGCCACCACCGCCACCACCACCATCATCACCGCCACTGCCACCACCGCCACCACCACCGCCGCCACCACCGCCACGCTCTACTCCCGCTGCTTGCAGGTTTTTAATCGTCAAGTGCAGCCCTGCGCCCACTCAACGCAGGGGGTTCGCGTTCCCACCCCTGGTGGCCGGCCCCCTTGGTTAATACTGCGGCTGCCTTTGTCTTCCCAGTGGCAATGTTTGCTACCCACCGCACCAGCTACTCGTTTGAGGCTCAGTCGACCTAGCGGAGGCCCAGGACCGGTTCAAAGAATCGTCACCGGGCGTCTAAAGATCCCGGCGAATGTCGTTTGCAGGGGTCGGCGACCGTGAGCCACTGGCGTCCATGGTCCCAGAATTTGCCCGAATCGAAGAATTCCACCGACAACGACTCGGGTGGGATGAAAGACAAAGATCCCCCGTGTAGCCTCTAAGAGACTGTTGGGGCAAGTGCGGTTAGCGAGCACCTACGAAGGCCGGCACGGCACACGAGCGGGTGGGTGGCCCGCACCACGCCCGGCCACCTTTGTCTCCCCAGTGGCGATGTTTACTACGACACATCGGTGTTGGTGGCCGTGAGCGAGAATCGTAACTCGGGTCGGGTGCCGCGCAGTGGCAGCTTCCGCTGGGGGGGCCCCTCGCATGCAGTAGATTCACAAAGATCTGTCGACTGCCATCACTGTTAAATGCAAGTGCCATGCTCGTGTTGAGGATGGTTAACGTGGGAGGTACAAGGGTGGTAACTGCGGTTACTATGGGAGGGGTAAGGGTGGTTACCGTGGTTATTATGGCAAGGGTAAAGATGGTTACCATGGTTACTGTGGAAGAGGAAAGGGTGGTTATCGCGGTAACTATGGGAGGGGTAAGGATGGTAACCGTGGTTACTGTGGGAGAGGGAAGGGTGGTTATCGCGGTTACTATGGGAGGGGTAAGGGTGGTTACCGTGGTTACTATGGAAGGGGTAAGGGTGGTTACCGTGGTTACTATGGGAGGGGTAAGGGTGGTTATTGCGGTTGCCATGGTTACCCTGGGAGCGGTTGAGGATGCTGGGGAGGCTCATTCCGCTCGCGACGCCGGTCCATAGCGCAGCCATCTGCATACAGTGCACGTACAGTGCGAGTACAGTACACGTACAGTGAGTACAGTGCGGGTGCGCGTACAGTACGTGCGTGTAAAGTACGCAACGGTTCTCACGGTGCGTACAGTACAAATGCAGTACACGAGCAAGTACTGTACAACATCACATACACACAGCACACATCACATACACACAGCACATATAACATACACACATCACATACACACATCACATACACACAGCAACATAACATACACACAGCACACATCACATACACACATCACACATCACATACACACAGCACACATAACATACACACAGCACACATAACATACACACAGCACACATCACATACACACACACACACAGCACACATCACATACACACAGCACACATAACATACACACAGCACACATCACATACACACATCACATACACACAGCACACATAACATACACACAGCACACAGCACATATACACAACAACCGCCATTCGCCACTAAGTGTCGGTGACGTCACCACGACGCTTGTGCCAGGCTAGGTGCACGTTGAGGCCACGTGAAGTGTCGAACGCCCGCTGGCAGGAGGTCACGGGGAAAACCCAGCAGGTGCCACGGGTCGACTGACTGAGATGACCCAGATGACCCAGATGACTGGCTGATGCACCAACCTGTGCCCCTACTGTGCCAACTTGCTGTGCTTTAGCCACCCGGCACTCCGCTCGTTGTTGTGAGCGTCGCTCCTCCGCCCTCCGTTGTTGTTGGAGGGCGACTGCCTCCAACTGCCCAGTAGCGTCCTTCACGAGCCTCCTCCACTGAGGCCGATCTTGACACCGCTGGTACCAGTCATCGGCAAGTCCACTCAGCTCCACGTCCTCCTGTACCACATCACCCATCTCTTCTCTAGCCCGTGCCGCGCTCGTTTAGCCCCCACGATCCGGCCGAACAAAAGCTGTTTAGGCATGCGGTGGCTGGGCATGCGGGCTACATGACCCAGCCAATGCATCCTTGCCTGCCGGAGGAGCTCACCGATGGGACTTTGTCCAGACATACACATCACATACACAACACATCAACACAACACATACACACAGCAACATCACATACACACACACATGACACAGCAAAACCACAACACAGCATATTCACATATACAAAGACAAAGCTCCCCCCGTATAGCCTTAACAGACTGTAGGGGCAAGTGCCTTTTAGCGAGCACCTATGAAGGCTAGCACGGCACACCAGGGGGTGGGTTGCCACAACCACGCCCGGCCACCTTTGTCTCCCCAGTGGCATTGTTTTTTTACAACCGCATGGGTACTCATTTGAGGTTGAGTCGCCCTAGGGGAGGCCCAGGACCAATTCAGATCATCGTCACTGGTGTTGGCCGTGGGCGGGAATCGAATTCGGATGGTCGATGTCGTGGCCAAGCGCGATAACCACGACCGCTACCAACAGCGCACATCACACATAGCACGCATCACACCAAACACACAACACACACAACACACCAAACACACAACACACACAGCACCACAACACACACAGCACACACAGCACACAGTACACCAAACACACAACACACCAAACACAGCACACATAGCACACACATCACACACAACACACAGCACACACAGCACGCATCACGCCAAACACACAGCACACACAGTACACACATCACACCAAACACACATCACACACAACACACACATCACACACAGCACACACATCACACACAGCATACCAAACACACAGCACACACATCACACACAGCACACACATCATACACAGCACACACAGCACACACAGCACGCATCACACCAAACACACAGCACACACATCACACCAAACACACATCACACCAAACACACATCACACACAGCACACACAGCACACCAAACACACATCACACACAGCACACCAAACACACATCACACACAGCACACACATCACCAAAACACATCACACCAAACACATCACACAGCACACACATCACACCAAACACACATCACACACAGCACACACAGCACACCAAACACACATCACACACAGCACACACATCACACACAGCACACCAAACACATCACACCAAACACACATCACACAGCACACCATCACACACAGCACGCATCACACCAAACACACAGCACACACAACACACACAGCACACACATCACACAGTACAAACCACACAGCACACCACACACAGCACACACATCACACCAAACACACAGCACACACAGCACGTATCACACCGCACACACAGCACACACATCACACAGTACAAACCACACATCACACACACATCACATAGTACACAGCACACTTCACACCACACACATATTACATACACACATCAAACACAGCACACACACATCACATAGTACACACCACACAGTACACACCGCATACAGCACACATCACATACACACAGCAAACCACACAGCACATCGCACACCGCCTGGCGATCATTTGAGTCTGAGACTCGCGTGTGAGTGTGGATACTCCGTAAGTCCATGGTTCTCTGTGTAAGTCCATGGTTCTCTATGTAAGTTCATGGTTCTCTGTGTAAGTCCATGGTTCTCTGTGTAAGTCCATGGTTCTCTATGTAAGTTCATGGTTCTCTGTGTAAGTCCATGGTTCTCTGTGTAAGTCCATGGTTCTCTATGTAAGTTCATGGTTCTCTGTGTAAGTCCATGGTTCTCTGTGTAAGTCCATGGCTCTCTGTGTAAGTCCATGGTTCTCTGTGTAAGTTCATGGCTCTTTGTGTAAGTTCATGGTTCTCTGTGTAAGTCGATCAACTCTCTAGCACTCAGAATGTGGCCCCAATATCTCAAACATTGCGTTTGACGGTATGACAGGACCATGGTGTCACACGGGCGCCGCGGTGGCTAGGGGAATGTTAACTACCTCGCCTGGTATGCAGGAGATCGTGGGATCGATATCCCGACCCTGACGGCTGCTGCTGTATATTTTGACATTGCGTGTCACTTTCTCTCTGCCATCATTATCATCATCACGGTGGCTAGGAGATGTTAACTACCTCGCCTGGTATGCAGGAGGTCGTGGGATTGATATCCCAACCCTGACGGCTGGCTGTATATTTTGAGATTGCGTGTCATTCTTCTCATCATCATCACGGTCGCTAGGAGATGTTAACTACCTCGCCGGGTATGCAGGAGTTTGTGGGTTCGATAACCGGACGCTGACACCTGCTGCTGTATATTTGGAGTTTGCGTGTCTCTCTCTCTCTCTCCCGTGGTTGCGTGGATTTTTCTCCGGGTTATCCGGTTTTTCCCCTCCACATGTAGTATCGGCATGACGCGTTTTAGAGTATTTTGCTACTGTTATAAATGTCCACGTCATGATGATGATGATAAGCCCACTTCGTTGAGCTATCATTTGTGATAACCAGTGTCGCTTCTATAGTAGTTCAGCGGGGCCTTAGCTGATAAAATAAAAACGAGTTTTAGTTGAGGTTTGAGAGTTCGTGATGGAGCCATGCTTATCAATCCGCTTGTTGACCCAGGAAAGCCTCACTGAGTCTCGTGACTTTCTTCAGGAGGGTCCTGCCAGCCTCTGGCAGCAGTACGGAGCGATGTTGCTGCTACCGCTGCTGCTGCTGTGGCATCCCAATTGAGCGATGTGCAGGTGACGTTTCAACAATTGGGATTGTCGGTTGGTGAACACCACGCAGTTGCGTCCTGTGTGTGTCCCGATTTGGCTCGAACATCAAAGTCAGCAACTGCGAACGTAACTATTTGTTTGTTATTGTACCAGGTAAGGCCCCACTGAGCGATGTGGCACTTTTTGCAGAAGCGACCCTGGCCATCACAGATGGTAGCCCAACGAAGTGGGCTTATCGTCGTCACCATCGCGTGGAAAGTTATAGCAGCAGTCAAATACTCTAAACGCGTGTTTCTAAGTGTGAAGGGAAAATCCGGAGGTCCCGGTGAAAAATCCACGCGAACTCGAAATACACAGCAGCAGGCGTCAGGGTCGCGATATCGAACCCACGACCTCCTGCATACCGCGAGAGGTAGTTAACATCTGCTAGCCACCGTGGCGCCACGAGCTCTTGTGAGTCGTGTAGCCCGGGGTGGCTGCGGTCCCCGTTAACCGGTTACGACAGAACTCGTTAACCGGTTACTACGGACACCACGGCGTTATCCACGTCTGCCAACGCACGGAACACGACGGGAGCGGTGGCGCAGTGGTTAGCGCGTTGCGCCACAATGCACCCGGGGGCGAGGGGGGTTAAATTCTTGTCCGCGGCGGCTCGAGAGAGACATCAGTGGCGAGTGATTTCTGACCCGCAAACTGCGGCCTTTCCCTCCACCCCGTCCACCACGAAACATTCACCACCCCGCACTGACCGGCGTGGCGAAATATGGCCAAACGATCAGCCATGACGAGGGGACGACTCGCGGGGTGGAAGGCCGTCACTCGGCAGTGGAGTGACATGAGTATATGACTATACATGCGTTTTATAAAGCTACACACCACACGGATTCAATCAAGCCCTTTAGGCACGGCAGTGCAAGCACCCCCAAGGAATCGTCTGTGTTTCAGATCAGTCGGCACACAAAAGGCATCATAATGAACGTCTTTCGCTCACTAATCCTCCCGCGGATTAGAACATTTAAACACGCACACACACAACGACAACAAAGATCCCCCGTAAAGAATCAACAGATTGTTGGGACAAGTGCTGTTAGCGAGCACCTATGAAGGCAGGAACGGTACACGATGGGATGGGTGGCCAGCACCACGCCCGACCGCCTTTGTCTCCCCAGTGGAGATGTTTACGCACCAGGTACTCATTTGAGGCTGAGTCGAGTTAGGGGCGACCCAGGACCGGTTCAAATAATCGTCACCGGTGTGGCCGTGAGCAGGAATCGAACTCGGGTTGCGGGCTTCATAGCGCAGCGTAGCGCTAACCACTCCACCACCGCTCCCCGCACACACACATCAGACTT